ATATCTAACTACAAAAACTACACAACTTAGTGGTTAAAAAAAAATCCTGCCTCTGCAGTTACTATATGTGTGACCTGAACCAAATATTTTAAGTAATAAACTTAACATAAATTAAAAAAATAATAAGCATAAAGATGTTTACTCTTAAAAATATGAGGTAAAATACTCACATTTTCTGATTTTAAACATACTATATAGCTACAGGAATCAAAACAGCCTGATACTGGTATAACAACAGACACAGAGATCAAGGGAAGAGAATTCAGAGTCCAGAAAAAAAAATCCACACATCTATGGCAAACTGTTTTTTGACAAGGGTGCTAAGTAAGTCCATTTGACAGGGAAAGAAGATCCTCTTCAATAAATAATGCTGGGAAACCTGGATTTCTACATGCAGAAAAGTGAAACAAGATCCATGCCTCACACCATACATGAAAACAAATTCAAAATGGATTAAAGATCTAAATGCACAAATTAAAACCATAAAATTCTGAGAAGAACAAGAAAGGGCAACACTGTCAGGCCTAACTTTCAACAATAGATTATCTACTATAATAATAAAAAAAAAAAAAACAGCAAAAGACAAAATAAACAAATGGGACCTCATAGAAATTAAAAAACTTTTTTCATGAAAAAGGAATATTTGGCTATATCTGGTGGTGTATTGGTTATGGCATTTGGCCAAAAGGTCAATGGTTCTGCTCTGCAGAAGAAAATGGGACCATCTGCTTCCATAAATATTTACAGCCTTGGAAACCCACTAGGGGTCACTATGAGTTGGAATTGATCTGATGGAAGTCAGTTTGATTTTGTTTTGTTTTGGTTCATCAAAAAACTTTTGCCAAAAATGTGAAAAGAGAAGCTATTGACTAGGAGAGTATCTTTGAAAATCATGTATCTGACAAGAATCTAATAACCAAAAAATATATAAAATTCAACAACTTATCAGTAATAAGACAAAAAAATAATCATAAAAAGGGCAAAGGACTTGAATAGACATTCCACCAGAAAGGGCATTCAAATGGCCACCAAACACATGAAAATATGTGCTGCATCATTAGACATCAGAAATGCAAATCAGAACTACAATGATATTCAATTTCACTCCCACTAATATGGCTAAAAAAAAAAAAGAAAATAACAAATGTTGGCGAGGATTTGGGGAAGCTGGAACCCTTATCCATTACTGGTGGCAGTGCAAATGGTACAGCCATTGTGGAAAACAGTATCGTGGTTCCTCAAGAAATTAAAAGAGAGCTACCATATGATCCAGTAATTCCATTCCCAGGCAGAAGACTTGAAAGACCCAAAAGACTTGAAAGCAGAGATTCAAAAAGAGACATGTACACCAATGTTTTTGCAGCACTATTTACAGTAGCCAAAAGGTATAAACAACCTACTAATGAATGAAAGGATAAACAAAACGTGCTACATTCATATAGTGGAATACAACTCAGCCAGTAGGAGAAATGAAGTAGATACAGTCTACGGTGTGGATGGAGCTTGAAGACAGTATGCAGAGTGAAATAAGCCAATCACAGAAGTGCAAATATTGTAATGACCTTACTTATACAAAAAGACAAGAAAAAGCAAATATATAGAGAACAAAGATTATTAGTGGTTATCAAGAGCAGGAGGGAGGAGGATAATTAATGGTGATGAAGAAATAGATGTGGGATTACACTACTGATTAATGTATTTGCTGTAAGTTCTATACCTGCAAAAAGTTGAAATACAACAAATATATGATAGATATATCTATAACAATGACAAAAAAAAAAAATGAGAAGCTACTGAGACTGCTTATGTGTAACCAAACACTTCATGGGCTTTGGTTCCTTGGTTTGGAGATTTAGGGTCATGGTTTCATGGATCATCCCAGTTAACTGGCCTTATAACATGTTTAATGCTTCTGTTCTACCTCCCAGTTAGCTGCATAGTGCCTGGGGTCTTAAAAGCTTGCAAGTGGCAATCCAGGGCACAAGACTTGATCTCTATTCACTGGAGCAACAAAGGAAGTAAGAACAGGAGGAGGATATGGAATGTGTGACAAACTTCCTCCATAAGCATCTGCCTCTTTGCCATCAGACCAGAAGAACTAGATGGTGCCTGGCTACCATTACTGAACATTTTGATTGAAAATTCTTGGAAAGATTCTGATCAAAAGGGGAAAAATACAGAACAGAAATTCAGATTCTCATGGACTCTAGACTTTCTGGAGGCCAGGAGGGTGGATGAACCCCTGAAACTATTGCCCTAAGATAATTCTGAAATCTTCAAACAAAAATACCCCTGAAGTAATCTTAAAATTGAACAATAGTTTAGCTTCACTAGTGAAAAGGGTCTATCTTGAGGTTATGCTGTTTTAAGAACTATCTAAATGGGATCAAACTGACAATAGTAACTCAGAAGATTAGATAGGAACCTTAGGGGACAGCGAGTTTATGTTGAGGAAGGAAAAACCCAGAAAAGGAGGGTGAGAATGGTTGTATAACTTGGAGAATGTAATCATTGTCACTCAATTATGCATATAGAAATAGTTGAATTGGTATGTTCTGCTGTGTATATTCTCAACAACAAAATAAAATTTAAGAAAAAAAAAGATCAACCAAAAAGCATTCTGAAAGTATAACAGAGGTAGGTTCTTTTCAATTATAAATTCACATTTACAAACATGATGGAATATTTTAAGTCATTTAATTATGAAAAATTACAGCACCTGTAAAAACTCTGAAGTATTCACTACAATCTTCTTTCCAAAGGAAAACAAAATCAAATT